TTTTTTTTTTTTTTTTTTTTTTTTTTTTTTTTTTTTTTTTTTTTTTTTTTTTTTTTTTTTTTTTTTTTTAAGCCACACATAAACATCACGGAGGACGGAATTACCCTAAAAAATCAAATATTTCGTATAATAAATATTAATAATATTATAACAGATAATAGTTAAAAAAGTTATTAGTATTTTTATCAATCTTGTACAATTATTAAAAATATTGATGTAAAAAATTCTTTTTTCTTCCGAATCTCTGACCTTTGCTTCTTTTTCTTTTTTCAAGCTTTCCGAATTACACGAGTATTCGAAGTATTGACAATATCGCAAATCATTTGTGTGGTGTGGGAAATCTGTGAAATCGATATACATTTTTACTAAACCCATAAAATCAAAGAGTATATCCGAATTATTAATCGAATTCGAATGAGTGAGAAATGAGTTATTAAACTTTAAAAAAATTTTAAAGTAATAAAGTATTTAAGTTTATAATAATATAGTATGAATAGTACGGTGACTCGGGAAGTCGGTTGAGTATGGTTTGGTGAGTATGGTGATTATATACAACTTATAATTTGGTGAGTATAACTTATAATTTGGTAAGTATAACTTATAATTTGGTGAGTATAACTTATAATTTGGTGAGTATGGCGATTATATATAACTTAACTTACTTATATTAAATTATTTTTATAAGTATCTTTGTAAGTCCCAACTTATTTAACTTATAACTTATATTACTTATAACTTACTTATTTTGACCATACTCTTCATACTCTCCATGCTGACGCTCCCCTATATTTTTTAAAACTCCGTCAAAAAAAAAAAAAAATACCGATTTAAAATAATACCGATTAAGATTTTAAAATATATAACTTTTTTTTTTTTATTTTATTAATAGAAGAAAAAAGGTTAATTCAAGTGTAAATAAATAATAAACAATAAACATAAAAGACATGTTAAACGTGTTTTTTGTCAAACCACGAGAATCAAGTCAAATCAATGAATGATCAAAAATGATCAAAAATGATCAAACATTTTTTTATTAAATGTTAAGAAAATAATTTGTTTGTGATGTTTTTTGTGATGGATAATGATAATAATAATAATTTTTTATTATTTTTTTTTTCTTGAAATAAAATAAAATAAAATAAAAAAAATAAAAAAAATAAAAAATAAAAAATAAAAATAAAAAAATAAAAAAAAAATAAAATTAATAATTATTAATAATAAAATTTATGTGATTACAAATTTTGTATTCTTGTTTACTTCCATTGAAAAAATGAAAAAAATAAACTAACATGAAAAATAAATATTCATTTTTTTTAAAAAAAAGAGAGTCTAGACCTTTTTTTTTCCCCTTAACAATTTTTCTTTATTAAAAAAAAAAAAATGTGTGACGTTTCGTGAAATTTAAAAAATTTAAAAAAGATAATTCTCTTTTTCTTTGTGGTGAATACAAAAAATTTTAATAAGGAAAGAGAATAAGAATTTATGGAATGAAAAAAGAATTGTTTAAACGAACGATATTTGTAATACAAAAAAAAAAAATTTTATTCATTTTTGATCACAAGAGGAGAAATAAACAATTTCCCCTATTAGAAACACAAAAACGTGGTAAAAACTCGTGGCGAAAAAACGTGTGTAAAAAAAAAAAAGGACCGTAAACATTTTATATTTTGCTAACTAAATAAATGCAAGTGATCGAAAAATTAAACATTATAATTGGAAATTAGGCTACCATTGTTTATAGGTTTTAACCCATAATAACACGATCGGTTTCCATTCTTATTTTAGAAGAAAATCATGATTTTTTTTTTTAATTAATTTAGAGAATACTTTTGTAAGTTTATTACGTAAAATAAAAGATTCTAAGCCATAAAATTACTTGAATAATATCTTGAAAAAATTTTTTTTTTTTTTTTT